CGAATCGTTGGGATTTCGTAAAAAGTAATAATAATAATAATAATAATAATAATTCATTTCGTACTAAACTTTCGGACGTTTATTATTATTATCATATTTAATAAATTACCTTATGTGTCGTAAAATGTGTTGACGATAATGATAATGATGATAATGATGATGATGACACGAGTCGTTTAAAAAAACTTAAAACAAGTTGATGATGATAATAATAATAATTTTTTTTTTGTTTAATCGATTGCCAAAACGATAATTTTTTTTTTGTTTAGTCGTGTAAATAGAAATGACATATCGTCTTGCACCACTTAATAATTAATTATTTATTATATTAATGGATCACTTTCTAAACTTCACCAGGCTCGAATTTTTCTTTTTTTCTTTTTGTTTCGAAATATAATAATAATAATAATAATTCCCGTTGTAATATTCACCTTGATTTTTTTGCTTGGTTGTTTGTTGGGTTGTTTGTTTGTTCGTTTGTTTTTTTTTTTTTTTTTTTTTTTTTTGACGAGAGGCGATTTCGTATATGGATTTAAACGATAAAACCGGACAGGTTTAAAAAAAAAAAAGTTTATAAGAAATGAAGTTTTTTTCAGTACCAACAACAGTTTTCCAGATGTGTTTGTTTGTTTGTTTGTTCGTTTGTTTGAAACATTGTTGTTCACGCCCAATAAGTAAAAGCTCATTAGGAAAAACTGAAAAAAAAAAAGTTTTAAGGTTGTTTTATAAATTTATTTAGAGGTGTGGACCAAAAAAAAAATTTTTTAAAATGGCACGATTTGTTTTTTTTTCTTTTCCTCTTATTATCATTATCATTATCATTTTTTTTTTTGGCACAAAATGATGACGTTACATAACGTTTATTATTATTATTATTATTATTATTATTATTATTTAGGTTATTTCCTATTGGTTTGAATTTTATAAATAGGTTGAAGGGCATTTAAAAAAAAAAAAAAAAATTGGTTGAAATTATACGTAATCGAATTAAAAAGGGGGGGGGAATTTTTTTTTGTCTGCTGCCACTGAATTTTATTATTATTTTTATTTTAATTGAGTTTTTTCTTCAAATGGAATTTTCCCGATCGATTTTTTTATACCTCTATCTCTCTCTTTCTTTTTTCCTCCTGCTTCTCTTTTTATACCTCGCTCTTTCTTACGTCTTATTTTGTTTTTCTTTCTGTGTCTCTCTCTTTCTCTCTCTCTCTCTCTCTCTTTCTCTCTCGATTTTATTTTGTCTTTCTTTTTTTCTGTCTCTTTCTCTCTTTTTTCGTCTCTGTTTCTGTCTTTTCCTTTCTTTCTTTTCCCTGCTTCTCTTTTTATATCTCTCTGTTTTTTTTCTCTTTTCTCCCTGTTTCTTCTTCTTATTCTGTTTTTTTTTTTATTTCCCTCTTTTTGCCTTCCTTTCTCTCTTCTTCTCTCTTCTTGTTCCTTTTCTTTCTCTCAGTCTTATTTCGTTTTTTTTTCTCTTTCTGCCTGTGATTCCCCTCTATCTCTTTCTCCCTCTTTCTATGCCTCTCTCTCTATTTCTTTCTGCCTTTCCTTTTTTCCACCTCCCTTCCCGTCTCTTTTTCTCTCTCTACCTTGAATCATTAATTTAAAAACTTTTGAAATCTTCTTCACTATACGCAACAAGGAACAACAACTCATTAAAATGATATAAACCGCCATTTTTCTTTTTTTTTCTTCTTTTCCCCTCTCTTCCCTCCCCCCACCACTCGACGTGAACTTCAACGCGTCATGACGTATTCATTCAATTCAATTCAATTACAAACGTTCTAAATAATAGTAGTAGTAGTAATAATAATAATAATAATATTAATAATCGGTTTGTCCTACTTCCGGTCTCATATAAGTTATGAAAACGAAAGTTAAAAATTATTAATAATAATAATAATAATAATTCACGTTGCAGTTAAAAAAAAAAAAAAGTGTTTTATTGCAAATAATAATGATTCGATTAAAAATCGATGCGAGGATTATGCGATCGTATATTATTAATATTTAATTTTCGTCCTACTTTTTTTTTTTTTTTTTTTTTTTTTTTTTTTTACCTTTGAGAATCCCGATGATAATGATAATGATGATGATAAAAGAAAGAAGGAAAGAAGGAGTAGTAAAAATAATAATAATAATAATAAGTAAAAAGAAGGAAAAACGGCGGGGGGATTTTTAAATCTTATCGATCAAGGTTTTTCATACGGTCAAAGGAAACAAAAAGAAAAAAATGATTATTGACCCGACGAAAAAGGAAATGAAAGCTAAAGGGATGACGTTTTATTATTATTATTATTATTATTGGTATGCCTGACGATGACGATGACAATGACGATGATGATGATGATGATGATTAAATCGAAAGTTTGCGGGCAAGGATTTTGCCGTAGGGTATTCTTAAAACATTATTATGAAATTTATTATTATTATTATTATTATTATTATTTAAAAAAAAAAAAAAAACGAAGGGCATTAAATAATAATAAGAAAAAAATGTGTTTAATATTATTATTATTATTATTATAAATTGGTCACTAGTTTTATTTTAAATGGATAGACCGTGAAAAAAAAAAAAAAACCGAAAATTGATTTTAAAAAGAAAAAAAAATTGTTTCAAAACTTTTTTTTTTTTTTTTCTTCTACGAAGGCTAAAACATCCTAATGAATAAACTGCCGGAAAAAAATTAAAAGGACAAATTTAAAAAGCTTAAAAATTTCAAGGTCAAAGGAAAAAAAAAAAAAAAAGTAAAATTATTCATATTTTTCCTTTTTTTTTTTCCTTTTTTGGTAAGACTCGACAAAATCTTATTGAAAAATTGTTTAAAAAATAAAAAAAAAATTAATTAAAAGATTAATCGAATGAAACATGATGAGGTTAAATAAAATTCCCAATTGTATAATAATTTTCTTTTTTCGACAAACACAAAAACAAACAAACAAACAAACATAATCGTCGTCGATAAATTTAATTTTTGTATCGTCTTAACAAATTTTTAGAAAAAATTACAAAAAAATTCGATAGATTCGTCAAATGATTTTTTTAAAAGAAAGAAAGAATTTAAACGGAAGCAAACAACAAACGACAAACAAACAAAAAAAATTTAGAAAAACCTTTGAAAATGGCGGAAAGGAATTTTAAAAAGAAATTTTTTTTTTATTCGGATTAAATTAAATTAAGGTTATTAATTAAAAACAAAAAAATTTTTTTTTTCCGTACAATCGCGTTTGTAATTAAAACAACCAAAACAAAAATCCCCCTCTTCTCCCTCCCCCCCCCCAAAAAAAAAACGAAACAAACGATAAACAAACGAAAGTTGTTCCTTTATTTTTATTTTTTTCCCTGTCGTGACATTGTCACAAATGTGAAAGATTTCGCTTTTTTTTTTTTTTTCAGGGACTCGAATTTTAAATTTGTCACGATTAAATATAAACCGATAAAAATATCCTTAGGGCATTAACAAACAAACAAACAAACGAGCGAACAAACGAACAAACAAACGAACGAACGAAAAAAAAAAAAATTTCACAACGTAAAAAAAAAAAAAATCAATAAATAGATTATATCGGTCAAGATTTTCAACTTAACATCGTTATTCATTTCCGGTTTATTTTTTTATTATTTTTTTCCCCTAATACAACTACTACTATTATTAGTATTATGTATATAAAAATTTTTGAATTTTTTCCCGCCAAAATTTAAAACTCAATTTCCCATGCATGTAATAAGGGCACATGTGCTTTACCACGACGACGATTCTCACAATTGTAAAAAACCTTTCGCGTGATTTTTAAGGGGTTTTAAACGCATACCTTTCCCAAATAAGGTTATTATTATCATTATTATTATCATTATTATTATTTTCATCCGAGTCATTCGTTTAAATTAATTTCATCATAGCAAATCACCTTCCATTTTAACATTTTGTTTACAAAAAAAAAAAAAATATTTTCGGGTTTCGTAATAAAATTATAAAAAAAATTTTTTTTTTGTGACGATGGCGATGGCGATGGCGATGGCGATGGCGGTGCCTGTGGCAATGGTGGACGTGCCCGATCCACCGACCCACCGACCCGAAGAATGAAACAATAACCAAATTCTTTGGCAGTCATCGAATTTTTAAAAAAAAGAAAAAAAATTTTTTTTTATCGTCCGTCATATTGAATTCGTGAATGTCTTTTTTTAACGTTACTCAACGTGATAATAAATGAATGATTTTTTCTACGCGCATCAATTTTAAATCAACAACCAACAATCAACAACCGACAACCGACAACAACCGGCGATGATGAGAAAGAGAGAGGGGGGGGGAACGGTACGGGTGCGGTCGATACTAAAAAAAGAAAAATGGCAAAAAACTTTCACGATTGTTGTGGTTCCGGTTGAAGTATTAAAAATTTCATAATGAAAACAAAAAAAGATTTTTAAAAAATGGGCGGGGAGGGGGAGGGAGGGAAAAAAAGGTAAAAAATCGATAATAATAATAATAATCGACGTCGCCGATCATCATCATCATCATCATTTCGGTATTGATCGATCAATCGATTCTAATAATCACTTTCGAACTCTTGTTTCGTTATAACAACCCGATCAAGGTTGTTTTCCAATTCATTACCGCATGCCAATCTCTCTCTGTGCGTGTGCGTGTGTGCGTGTGCGCGTGACGATTGCATTTATCAGAAAAAAAAAAAAAAAAAAAATTGGGTCACTAAATGAAAAAAAAAAAAAAAAAAAGACATTGAAAGAAAACTGAAAGACACTAAAAAGACATTGGCGAAAAATTTACTCATTTTTATTGATAAAATCGATTCATTGATTTTATTTTGAAAAACGATCTATAGAAAAAAAAAATAAAAAATGGCGGAAAAAGTGCGTGCGTGAGTGAGTGCGTGAATGCGTGAATGCCTGTTAAATGCGAAACCTTTGATTGTCAATGAATGATGGTGAGAGGGCGGTGCCGACGGCGACGGCGGCGGCGGTTTTGAATGTGTTAAAAAATGTCATTTTATTCGGTGTCCCTTGCTCTAATTTCGGTTATCCCATAACATCCGGATAAAAATTTTCCTTGTTGCGAAAGTGAATGTTCCTGAGGTGGAAGGTAAGGTCCTTGATCGCCCATATAAACGAATCTGCGGCGATTAAATGAAGTTAAGGAAAAAGAGAAAAAAAAAGAAAATTCGAAATCGAATCGAACGGATGAGAGAGAGAGAGAGAGAAAACAAACAAACAAACAGTAAAAAGGATACGGAAGTCGAAGTACCCAATAAGCGCTTTGTGTGAGTACTATCGGTTGTTCGGAACTCGCGACGAAAATCGGAGAATTGGGTGACGGTTGAACTCTTGGATTTAACGTCACTCGAACGGGTGCTTTCGGCGTTATCATGTGAATTCTCATCAGTTGAGCAATCAAAGGTTTGTTGGATCTGAAACAACAACAAACAAACAAACAAACAAATTTTATTAATGTAATGGTTGGAAACGGTTGTCCATTTCAAACATTATAGACCCTACCGGCAAACGCATGGAAAATAGAGCGGCATATCGACCGACGTCACTTTTTGCGCCGTGTCCTTCAATTGTCCGCAATTTGTCGTTTTCATTATTTTATCCGGTCCGACAGCCATAAACCTGTGTCCCCTGGGACATTCGTATTCGACTCCGACAAATATTTTAACGACGAATTCGGATTGATCTATTTCAAAACGATGATAATAATAATGATAAAACGGTGTCATTGCCACCCTCGTCGTCGTCGTCGTCACCTCGTCCGTCGCAACTTACCCGCTTTATTCTTCCGGACTCTCATAACGTTCGTTTTCCTACTTTCCGTTACTTCCGCCGAACAAATACCCTTTTTATCGTGTTCGAGACGTACCGTGACATCCCACGGTAATAAATACGTGCTACCGGGTATGAGCCCCGGTTGATCTTGTAATCCGACATTATGAGAATAAAGGCTCGAGGGTCCCAAGCAGACAAGTGACCTTCAAACACGAAAAAAAAAAAAAAAAAAAAATTACTACGCTCTCTAAGGTCAAAGTCATTACTGACCACTCATTGTTACTCACATATGTTACACGCACGCACGCACTCGTAACTACATGAAAAAAAAAAAGAAAAAAAAAAAGAAGGAAAAACCGGTTTCGAGATTGATTCTTCTCCACTTTAGACCGTGCATAAATTTACAAAGTGGGCCGTGCCGCTAATAATAATAATAATAATAATAATAATAATGGTGATGATAATAATAATACAAAATGCAATTGTTGTTAAAGCGCGGGTGCAAAGGGAAGACAAACGGTGTCGTTCTCTCTTCGGGAAGGGGGTTAAAGGGGACGGGAAGGGGGAAGGGAGACGTCCGAAAAGGATTGCCAACCCCCCGCCCTCCTCCCCTCCCCTCTTTGTCGTTGTTCCCGTGACGTTTCAATCAATCCCTGAATTAATTTAAACGAGTAACTAATCGTGAAATTATATAATAATTTAATTTTTCTTTTTTTTTTGCGATTATAATAACGAGGGATAATGAATGACTTGAAAACCGGATGTGTCGCCATTTTATTTATTTATTTATTTATTTATTTATCTATTAACCTTTCCAAAGTTATTTTTTTTAAGATTTTACGTAGAGAGAGAGAGAGAGAGAGAGAGAGAGAGATACTCGAGTCATTGTTAAAACTATTTCCAAGTGTACTTAGTAGAAAAAACATTTACATATATATATATATATATATATATATATATATATTTTTTTTTATTGTTCTTTACGTGGTATTTTATTATTATTATTAAACTGACGAATACCAGAAATCCGGGAACGAAATCGTATGACGATAATAATGATAATGATATTGGTGGTGATGATGATGATGATGATTTAAACGTAAAAGAATTTTTTAACTTTATTATTTTTCTTACACTCTATGATTTATTTCCTTTTCTCACCTTCGCTCCCCCCCTTCACTCCCTCTCCCACCCCCACCCCCGACGAGATGGGATCGGATCGGATGTGCAATTTCACGCGTTTTTGCAAAAAAAAAAAAAAAAGTAAATTTTTTGTCGCAATAAATATTATAAAAAAAAATTATTTTTGGCACGAAAAATTAGAATGTCTAATAGATTGCGTAAAAAAAAAAAAAAAAAAAAAAAAATCAAGAAGGTTTTCGCGTAAAAAAAAAACCGTTACGTTCGTTCGATTTCCATAACACGCTGTCGTCATAAATTATTATTATTATTATTATTATTATTTTATTCGTTAATTAATAAAAATCGAGTTTTTTTTTTTTTTTTTTTACGTAACTGGAATTGTCGCCAAATTTTCACGCGCGTGAAAACTCACGAAAGAAAAAAAAAAAAAAGAAAAAAATTAGTTTCAATCGTGAACGTGTAAATTTTTTTTTGTTTGTTTGTGTGTTTGTTTTAAATTCATAACGATAATATTAATAATAATAATGATAAAAAAAAGAAAAGTGTAAGAAGAAGAAAAAAAAAAAATTGTAGAAATTTTTTTTTCTTTTCTTCCACGTCCTTCTTCGTCGTTTCGGTCGGTAAATACTTTGAGAAAAAGAAAAAAATTATTATTATTATTATTATTATTATTTAATTAGTTTGAGTTAATTTTTTTTTTCTTTTTCTTTCTTTAAAAACTAATCAGAGCGTTATTAATTAATAAATGCCTTACGTAATATTTTCTTCTGACACACGGATACCTTGGACTCGTATTGAAAATCTTTCTTTCGAAGGGGAGGGAGGAAGGGAGGAGGAGAGGGAGGAAGGGAGGAGTAAATTAGGAAGGAAGGGAGGAAGGGAGGAGGGAAAGAAAGGAAAGAGGGAGGGGGAGGGAAAATAAAAAATATCAAATTCCTTCTTACCATGACGAAAATTGTGGCAACAAACCGGACGGAGATTCTGTGTGTAACATTGTCGGAAGGTATTCGGTTGTTGACGGTTGTCTTATTAGACTTTTATCTGTGGGGAAAAAAAATTAAGATCTTCTTAGAGAAAGAAAAAGAGAGTGAGAGAAAGAGTGAGAGAAAGAGAGAGAGAGAGGGGGGGGGGCAAACAACCTTTGTCCTCGTTGTTATTGTTCGATACGTGAATGACGGTTTCCAAATCGCTTGCTTTGCTTCCCGTTTGTTGTATGCTCAAACGAGGATCGATGGTCACGTCGCTCCCGACGTCGGATTGACCGGAAACGTAAGCCAAACTAAAAGGTTCCTGCGGCGTACCGGTAGTACCCATTTCGGATTTGATGAGATCGTTTCGACAATCTCCTCGTCGTCCCAACAATTGCGCGGCTTTGTAATCTTTCGTGCTCGGTTGAAAAACCGGAAATCGTATGACGTCGAATTCGTCGCAACCGCAATCGTCTGCCAAAAGTGAATAAAATTCGTAATTGGCGGCTTTCAAAGTGTAAGGATCCGGTCGTGGTCCTTGTCGTCTTCCGCAATTACACGTCGAAACGTAACGGACTCCGCTCGAATGTTCTTTCACTTCCAACCCTTCGCGATTTCTGACACGAAAAAAAAAGAAAAAAATTTTTCCTTTTCGTAATTTTTTCCGATTAAAAAGAAAAAAAAAATTTTAAAAGACTTACCGGTCGGTTGAATCCATTATGGACGGTGTTACGACACCCTCCAGGCTACCACCTCTGTGTATCCCGTTGGTGCAAGGATGTCCGGTGAGACTCAACACCTGACACATTTGCCTTCCATTTTGCCAATGTCTAACGCATTCTTTTTCTAATTGCGCTGCGTATTTGTCAATCATTGATCCTCTACCGTGCATTGCCAAAACGGACATGGCTTGAGCCAACTGAAAGCCATTTTAAAATGAATTTTAATCAAAGGGTTCTTCTTTTTCTCTCTCTCTCTCTCTCTCTCACACGCATTCGAGACTTGCCTTGTTCTCGTGAAATTCTCTCGTGTAATGAAAGGGTGAATTTTGTTGATACGTGGCCACAGCCAGGGGTAATACTTTCGAACAACGGGATTCGCTAAAATTGGCATCTATATCTAATCTGTTACGAAGAACTTCGAATATGTCTAATTGTTCGTCGTCGTCGGAACATTCGCTATCCTTTTCTTTCGACTTACTCCCAACCAATAATCCGTGAGTTCTTTTGACTATTTCGAAAAATATTTCCGATGGTACCAACTGTTGAAAAAAAAAAAAAAAAAAATACAAACGTTCGTTACTTCTTTTCCAGTGTAGAATGAATGAATGAATGAATTGGAATTTATTTCAATTGCAATAATAATGATAATATGATATAAAACGACTCACTGTAAAACTTGGCGATTGTACAAGTCTTGACACGTTATCGTTAAAACCTTTTGTAAATGCTAAATTTATATGAGCTCCGAGAAATTTATCAAAACAATGTACTGAAATGATAAGGTTATCAATTATTTAAAAGAGAAAAGGTTTTTTTGGCGGCATAAATATACAAACAAAACAAAACATACAATTTTGTGCTTGTTTCATTTCATGTTCGACAGTTAAACATTTCAAAACGTTTATTTTAGGTTGTGTTGATAGACAATTATCTATAATGTTATTCATCATTTTATTGAGTTGTCTCGGTGGATACTCTTGATGAGTCTCGATAAAAACAAATTCTTGATTGACAGGAATAGCGAAAAGAGAATTTGAACTGTTGACAAAAAAAAAAAAAAAGAAAAGAAAATTTTGAGTTTTAGTGTTTGTGTCACTGTTGTTGTTGTTGTTGAACATAATTCGATCAATTCATTTTTTAATTTCATTACCTTATGTTATAAACAAGATTGCATCTTTTTAATATGTGATATATTTGATCTTCCAATGCATGTTCTAATTTTTTAATATCTTTAACACCTTTCGGACACGAATCGAATTTAAACAACATTCTAGGAGAGCATGGCCTACCATTTTCATACCATTCTTTGGGTAAACCGTTTATGTCGCCTAAAAGTTCTGAGAGTTTCGAAAATGTTTTCATTCTGAAATGAAAGTGCAATTTGTAATTGAAAAAACATTTTTTTTGTCATTTCATGAGAGAGAAATGGTAAATGTGAGTCATAAAAAAACAAACCTAACAGCATCGAGTGCTCGAAATAAATGAATGTAATTGAGATCGAAAACAGGGACAGGATGACAAACGACTAAAACGTGAGATATTGAAAATAAAAATAATAGAGCTCTGGCATAATCGTGTTTGAGGTTTGCCCATGTTGTTAAATACCTGAAGAAAATGGAAAAGGAAATTTAAATAAAAATTTAAGTTGATGTGTTTTTGTTAGGTTGGTTACCCTTTTTCGTTAAGACTCGATGAGAATTCATCCAAAACGTTTGCCAAACGATGAATGTCCAAAACACCTTTTAAATGTAGGTAAACAATGTTCTGATTAACGTCGTGACATCCTTCTATTTTAAGCTAGAAAAACGAATTTCCCGATGATGAATACGAATGGATGATTTTGACGACATTTTAATAATACTCACGGGTACATTTGAATCGCGATCGTCGCCGGTGAATATTTTAAAATTATCATTTTTAACACCTTCCCTTTCTTGTAGTGATTTACCAAAGAAAGAAACGACGACGAGTTTTTTACCACTTTCTACCGGATATCTAAATATATATAATCAAATTTACATTATTATTATTATTATTAATTAATTCGTTAGATAATTAACTTAAGATTATAGTTATTGTTATTATTATTAATATACGTACTCTGAAAAATTTCCGTTTGTCAAATCGAAAAAAATTTTACTGCTTTTCATTACCATTTTAAAAAAAACATAATAGTAATAATCTATGTTGACATAATTGATTGATTTCTCAATTTAGATAATTATTATTGATTAGGGATGATACTGTCGTGATACATAAACACTTGTTATTCACGGTTATTTTTTAACAAGTAACTCTTCATCCATATTTGTTTACTTTGTCGACGTCGCGCACGTATGAATTTGTCGTAACATTGCAAAATATATATACATGTGTACATACATAATGAAAATAATAATGTATGATTAAATTAAATTATTTAATGTAAAATTTTTAAATATTTATCTATTATTATTTACTTAAATAATGTCAGTTACGTAATTTCGCGAATTTAATTATACTAATATTTTACGTTATTCGTAGATATATCATTTTTTCGCGTGAACGTTATTTTCTTTCAAAAATGAGACTTAAATGCCATCTATTGAGAATTTTTTAAAACTTAAATCAGTTTGCACACTTCTATGGGGGGTTTAAATAATTTTTTTCCGCTTTAATTTTTTATTTTTCGAAAGGGAAAAGTAAGGTTCGAAACATAATTATTACTCCCCCTCCCCCTCCACATTTTAGAAAATGGTATCGCTATTAGGATAATTTAGGAATGAAATCGAAGCGTCGTCTCTTTGATTTTTTTTTTTGTTTCTTTCGGTGAAATTTGTCGTTTTTCTTTTACGCCTTGTTTAATACGAATAGACTTTTTGTCATACATGACGCAATTACAAGTTGCATAAAGGAAAACTGTAACGGGATAACTTTAACGGGGTAACAACAATAATAATAATAATAATAATAATAATAGTTAATTATTTTAAAGCCAAATCATTTATTAATTTTACATTAAAATTACACAATAATAATAATAATAATAATAATGATTCGCGACGTTCGTAATAATTATAATAATAATAATAATAATAAAAGTCTCCAGTAGTGGAGAAATACAAATAATAATAATAATAATAATAATAATAATAATAATAATTTTTTTATTGATATTAAAATCGATAAATCGATAAAATAAATAAATTAAATAAATAATGAAAATGTTGCGTGGTAAAAAAATATTATTCTAATTTAAAAAAAAAAAAAAATTATTATTAATTCCATTTTTTTTTCTACTTTCTTAAACAAACAAACGAACAAACAAACAAAGAGAAAAAGAAAAAGAAAGAAAGAAAGAAAATAAAATGAAAAAGTTTTTAAATTAAAAAATTAAAAAAAAAATTAATTTATTATTATTATTACTTTTTTTTTTTTTAGACTCAGGCACATTATTGAAAATGAAAAATTATTATTATTATTATTATTACTATTACGTAATAAACTCAATTTTAATATTAATAATAATAAGAAAAAGGAAAAAAAAACATAAAAATTTACAAATTTATTTATTTACTCACTCACTCATTCATTCATTCATTCACATTCATTCACATAAATTCAATCACGTGTGTGTGCGTGTGTAAGCGACACTATTACGTCATAAAAATACAAATTAATAATAATAATAATAATAATAATAATAATAAATGATTGTTCGCTTAATTTTTTTTAAGTACTTTTTTTTTCATCATTTATTTATTAATTTATTAAAAATAATTATACATACATACATACATAATATAATCGTTACACTTTCGTTGATAATAATAATAATAATGAGACAAACATGAACAAACGTTAGGCCGAACATTTACGAAATAATAATAATAATAAAAAAAATGACCAATGAGGAAAAAGAAATTTAAAATAATAATAATAATGTTGATATTTTGTTTTCGTTTCGTTCGTTGAAAAGAAAGGTAACTTTCGTAATTAATTAATTAATTAATTATTAATTTATGTGTTTACGTATTCGATTAATCAATCAAAAAAAAAAAAACGTTAATAATAATAGTAATAATAATAATAATAATAAAGCGATCCATACATAAATTTATTTATTACAAATTTATTTTAATTTATTAATTAATTGCACTTTTAACACATTCAATAAAAAGCGAACAACATTTATTTTATTTATTTATTTATTTAATTATTTATTATCATCGTCGTCAATAACGATAATGATAATAATACTTTTATTTAATTATTAATAATAATGATAATATCAATATCTCGCACGTGTATTCGTAATAAAAAATACAAAAAAAAATTCACTATAGTAAAAATTTCCTTATTAATTAATTAATTTATTTATTAATTATTTATTTAATTGTTTAATCAATTACGTCTATATTTATTCGTTTTTTTTTACGTAATACGTAATAATAATAATAATAATGATAAAAGAATTTTCTAGAACTTTTTTTTAAAAATACTTTTAATGTCGTCATATAAATAAAAAATAAAAAAAATTCGATTTAAAATTAAGGTACCGCAAGAGAGAGACAGAGATAGAGAGATTATGAATGAATGAATCAGATAGAGGGAGGGAGGGGGAGAGAGAGAGAGGAACAATTACAAACAGTGACGTTTTTTTTTTTTTTTTTTACGTTTACACATGAAAAAAGTCTCGTTTATTGAACACATTTAAAATTATTATTATTATTATTATTAATAAGTACGTCATCGGGTTGATTGATTTTCACTCCCCCTCCCCCTTGCTCCCTACACACTCTTCTCCTCCCCATTCGTTTCCCGTTTCTCCTCCTCATCTTCCTTGTCCAGATGTCACTTTAAAAAAAAAAATCTTTGGTAGAGTTAAAATTGAAATCCCCTCCCTCCCCTTCCATCCACCCTCCTTCCATTCCATATATTGTCTTCTGCTTTTTCCTCTTATCCACTTTCCAGTATGTGTGCGTGAGTGCGTGGGTGTTATCGGACACACTACACGGCGGAATCTTTACCAACGAAAGTTGTTTTCACACATGAATTTTTATCATCGAACGTGAGCCTCGTTTCTTTTTTCAGTCTGGAAAACAAAACAAAATTTACCCGATCCCTACTACTACCCTCTCCCCTCCCCCTCCCTGGTAAAATATATATACGAACCTTTCATCCATGACTTCAACTTTAGGTTTTCCATTTTCTCTCAGGAGTTCTTTTTCTTCGCTGGAAAAAAAAAAGAAAAAAAAATTTTTTTTTTGAAAAGTTATTTAAAAAAATCGCGCGGCGACAAACGAACAAACGACACTAATTCGTATATTACTACATAACAGCAAAATTACGACAAGCGAGCTAACAAAACAGACAGACAAACAAACAAACGGAATAGAAAAAACAAAAAAACAATCGACAGACACGTTCGCGTTTTTGCAAATTACTTTTTAATCTTTTAATTCGAAAAAATGCTTCGATTCAAACAAACGAACAAACAAACAAACAGAAATGATTGATTGATGGTGGACGATTTTTTTTTCTTTTTGATTGGGGGGAGGGGGGGGGCTTTGTTTAATGGCGGCGTAATCACTCGGGAAAATTAACAAACGACTTTCGAAAAAAATATTTATTATTTTATTTTATTTCTTTTCAAATTTAATTAAGAAAATAATTAACGTGTCACTTGATTTCAAAAAAAAAAAAAAAAAGTTTTGTACGTGTCAATAACCATTAATTTAATAATCAAAGCATTTTCTCTGAGTTTTTTTTTTTTTTTTTTTTTTTTTTTAAACAAAGGTAGGCACAAAGCAAGGTACATTTAAAAAGCATCTAAAGAAAAAAAAAAAAGAAAGAAGGATCAAAAGAAAATAATAACAATAATAATAATAATAATAATTTTAATAATAATTTTATTGACTTTTCAGGCAACGACGCAGACGAACGACAACGACGACTACTAAAAAAAAAAAAAAAAACAAGTCTTCTTACTACAAGGCAAGATCAGAATCTGGTGGAGGAAGAATTTCTAAATCAATGCCGCTATGTACGGCGCCACCCCCTGCGTAACTCGTCGTCGTCCGGTGATTGCAATAAGGGAGGGGAAATCTCCAACCGTATAAGCTAAACATAATATACATACAATATGCCAAAAATTACCAGAAATTCATTGTCGGAGGTAGGTGTGTGTGTGTGTGTGTGCGAAAGAAAGAATGAAAGAGAGAGAAAGGGAAAAGAAAGAAAGGGAGGAAGAGAGATAGAAGTGAATGAAAGAGGTGAGTGAGAGAGGGGAGTGAATGAGAAGGATGAGAGAGGTGAATGAGAGATTTGAGTGAGAGAGGTGAGTGAATGAGAAGGAAGAGAGATTTGAATGAGAGAGGTGAATGAATGAGTAGGAAGAGAGATTTGAATGAGAGAGGTGAGTGAATGAGAAGGAAGAGAGATTTGAATGAGAGAGGTGAATGAATGAGAAGGAAGAGAGATTTGAATGAGAGAGGTGAATGAATGAGAAGGAAGAGAGATTTGAATGAGAGAGTTGAGTGAGAGATTTGAATGAGAGAGGTGAGTGAGAGAGGTGAGAATGAGAGAGGTGAGAATGAGAGAGGTGAGAATGAGAGAGGTGAGAGTGAGAGAGTGAGAGAGAGAGAGTGAGAGAGAGAGAGTGAGAGAGAGAGAGGTGAGAGTGAGAGAGGTGAGAGTGAGAGAGGTGAGAGTGAGAGAGGTGAGAGTGAGAGAGGTGAGAGTGAGAGAGGTGAGTATAGAGCATGCGGTGAGATTAATAACTACATCACTAGAAAACTACAATAATACCCCCACGAGTGCGTGTCCTCCCCACCCCCCTTTCTGCCCCCCTCACGAGCGCGTGTCCTCCCCACCCCCCTTTCTGCCCCCCTCACGAGCGCGTGTCCTCCCCACCCCCCTTTCTGCCCCCCTCACGAGCGCGTGTCCTCCCCACCCCCCTTTCTGCCCCCCTCACGAGCGCGTGTCCTCCCCACCCCCCTTTCTGCCCCCCTCACGAGTGCGTGTCCTCCCCACCCCCCTTTCCGCCCCCCTTACGAGTGCGTGTCCTCCCCACCCCCCTTTCCGCCCCCTTACGAGTGCGTGTCCTCCCCACCCCCCTCATAAGCGCCTGTCCTCCCCCGTCCCCCTCACGATAACATTACCGAAATTTAAAATATAAAATAAATTTTGAATAATAAAATTATTATGATAATAAAAATTAAAATTTGTATTATTATTTACCTTGTGAGTTTGTTTTCCTCTTGTGGTGCTTTTTTTTTAGTCCCGCAAACAAGATAAAAAAGACCAGCCTGATTGACGAAGAAACAACTGACGTCAATTATGATGAGTGTTAGGAAAAGACTTGCGACGACAATGCCAACAATGGCAGCACTGCTGAGAAAAAGTCCTTGATTCGCTGAAGCGACGAGGTGATCCTTATCGATACCTGTACAAACACAATCCCCGTGTAAGTTATAGTTATTCAAAACAATAAACCCTAATTATAATAATGTTAATCATGATAATGATAATGATAATTAATAAAACAAAAAGAGAAAGAGAAGAAAGAAAATAATAATAATAATAATAATAAATTATAAATGATGATTTTGGCGCGTTTATTTTCCAACTTTCAAAATTTTCCACTCTTGACGGGTACGTGAAGAAGAAAAAACAGGACAGAAGGAACCTGAACAAAGATGAACAAAGCTGAACAAAATCGAACAAAATAAATCGACAATCAATCAATCAAATAATCGAATTAAAAATAAAGAAACCGAAATCAAAAACGTGGAAAAAGATAAAAAGAAGAAAAAAGAAAAAAACAAAATAAAATTTTCGTGGCAATAGATAACAAAAAAAAAAAAAAACAAATAATTTAAAGCTTCAAGTAAGTAGTAATTTTTTTCCTCTTTTTTTGTTCTGAAAAAAAATGAGAGAGAGAGAGAGAGGGAAAAGGAAATTGCGTATTACCAAAATCATCCCGAGGGAAAAAAAAAAACAAAGACGACGACAGGGGTGCCACACAACCAATATTGAGAAGAAAACAAAATAAATAATAATAATAATTTTTCAAAATGAGTTAAATGAACCGAAATCACGTGATGTAGTTATTACGTTTCATAGCCTAAACAATAACATATACAAAAAAAAAACAAAAAGTTTGCGCTACGTAAAAAAAAGAAAAAAAATATATCAAAAGCAGAAGACAAAATATTAATAAATAAAAACCGTTAACAATAGGGAAAAAAAAAAAAAAAACAAAAGCCTGGAAGAAATATAAAAAAAAATAAAAACCGCAAGTTAAAAGTTTTTCTCCAGAATTTTTCTTTTCCAAAAGCCAAACATTAAAAAAAAAAAAAAAAAAAAAAAAAAAATTAAATTTCCAAAGCAGACGCGCGCCATTTTTCAATAATCATTTTTTTTCCTTTCTTTTCTTTCTTTTCTTTTTTCTCTCTCTATCCCTTTATATTCCAACAAACATTTTCATTTTCATTTTCGTTTTCGTTTTTTTCGAAAAATAAAATTAAAATAATAATAACAATAATTTGAAAATTCTTGGAAAATGCCTGTTGGAACCGACACCTTAATCGATAAAAAAAAAAAAAAAATGTTAATCGAATTTAATTGGAATAAACTCGTGTGTTAGATGCTCTCATTCTCTTTCTCTCTCTGTGTGTGTGTTTGAATACTCAAAATGTCAAATTATATGTGAGAGAGAAAGACAGAAAGAGAGAGAGAGAGAGAGAGAAAATTCCAGTTTTTTAAAATTGAAAATCGAAAACAATAAAAGTTGTAGAGAGAAAAAAAAAACAAACAAAAAGAAGAGGAAAAATCAGAAAAACGTTCGCCATTTTTTTCTTCCTTTCACCCCCGTTACCATCACCATCACAACCACCACCACCACCTTTCAATTTTCTTCCCCATTCCCCCTTTCCAAATTTTTTTTATTCCAGGTACGACACAATCGGATAGAAATCGTAGAAACATCGAAAGTAATTACAAACGTCATAAGCTCTGCGGGGGTGACAATGGGAGGGAGAGCGGGGTATCGCAAAAACAAACGAAAGTGCATCGAAAAAAGTAAGCGAGGGGGGGGGTGAGAAAAAATGGGAGGGGAAGAAAAGAAAAGGGAAAACAAAAAAAAAAAAAAAATATTGACCGACCGAAAAACTATTTAAAAAAACGTGTCACGAAATTTCATTTTTTCTTTCTTTTTTTTTGCTGTTTGTTTTGTTTGTTTGTTTCTTTGTTGTGTTTGTTTTCTCTTATTCAGATTTGTTATTAAAAAAAATATTAATGGTTTCATTATTATTATTATTATTATTATTTTTTTGTACCTTTCTCATGTTTTCTCCAAATGTGACATTTTTCTTTTTTTTCTTTTTTTTTTTTTTTTTTGCCTTCCTGGAAATAGCGAAGAGTAAATGGAGAAAACGTGAAGGAAAGAAGGAAGAGAGGGTGGGAGAGTGGGAGGAAGGGAACGAGTCGAAACCAAGCGAAAAGGAAAAGTGTTCTGCTTAAAAAAAAAAAAAAAATTTTAAATTCTTTCCGTGGCACGAAATTGCTGACACGACGAGAGTTTTTAAAAATACATTTATTAAATTCATACGGAAGGAACCCACAAATAAAACTATTATTTAAACTCCCCCTCCCCCTACCTCCCTTTTGTTCCCTCCCCTTCCCTACTTCGACGGGAAAAGTCAAAATAATCAAAAAAATTAGGATATGTTTTTTTTATTTTTCACGACCGTATCCAGGATTTTCAGGATGTTTCCAAATTGATCCCTTCCTCACGCTAAAAATTCGAAATTTTAAATGAAAAAAAAAAAGATTAAAAAAGGGGGGATGAGGGGGAAAAGGGGTAAGAGGAAAAACGATACGCACCGTTAATCAAAAAATAATGATAATGATAATGTTAATGTTAATGATAATGATAATGATTTAAATTAATTATTAACATTCGTACTTAATAATACATAACCCGTGATTAAAAATAATAATTATTATTACATTCTAATAAATCAATCGATAAATCAATCAATCAATCAATCAAATCCGTAATTAATAATAAATAAATAAAAACTATTATTATTATTATCAAAAAAAATTAATTAATTAATTAATTAAAAGTTATATAAATTAATTAATTAAACAAAATGCAAAACGCGTTAAACGACGACGACGACGACGATATTAATAATAATAATAAATAATAATAATATTAATAATAAATAATAATAATAATACAGGAGAGGAGAGGAAAAGGAGAGGAAATACAATTTGTGTGCATGAGTGTGTCTGCGTGTTTGTGTGAGAGAGAGAAAGACAGAGAGAGACAGCAAGAGTGAAAGAGAAAGACAGAGAGAGACAGCAAGAGTGAAAGAGAGAGAAGGAGAGAGAGAGAGAGAGAGAGAGAGTAAGAGAGAGAGGAAGAAACAAAGCCAAATAAAACAAAATAAATATAAAAAAAAATTAATAAATCAAAAAAAGGCATTCAAATAAAAAAGCGCAATAATTATTATTCAAGCGAATTAATCAATCAATCAATCAATCAATCAATCATAATCAATCAATACACAATAAATTTTAAATCTAATAATAAACTCAATAAGTAAATAAATAAATAAATAAATAAAAATATTTACCCGCAAATAAATAGCAAAATTTAAATAAATTGTCATGATCATAACACGAACACGAGTGTGTCTCCCATCCATATACAGACAACGTACCTGGGGGTCTCCTGAACAAATGAAAATTGAAGAAAAACCGAGAAACGCGTACGAGGTAGGGAAAAAAAGGAAAACGCGCGTTCGGAAACATAATGTAATGGAAGGAGAGAGAATTAGTACAATAGTAGGAAGTTATAAGAAAAATGATGACGTGTGACGACAAGGATGCAAAAGAGAGAGAGAGAGAAAGAGAGAGAAATTCCGTGATTCCGTCTTTTCGTAGAATTTGAATTCGGTCGTCGCACGACAACAGAAAACAAAAGCTTTTCCGTAACTCCCTCCTTCCCCACCCCTCCCCTCTCTTTTCTCCTACTTCCCTGACCGCAACAAAACCACGACGACTATTTATTTATGTTAATTAAATTCCCCCCCCCAAAAAAAAAAAACAAAAATGTTCTCCCAATTAACAAACCTTGTCCAGATGGTGACCTTAATTACCCATTATTATTATTATTATTATTACTATTATTATTATATTAACTACAATGACGTTATTTACTTCAACCGGAGAAGAGAAACAAAAATATAAAAAAAGAGAGAGAGAGGGGGAGGCGAGTGAAAGTGAGGGGTGTGTGTGCGTGAGCGTGTTTACATGAGACAGAGACAGAGAGAGAGAGAGAGAGAGAGGAAGCAAATTCTCAATCTTTCACACACCCGGAAAACATCTTCATGACGTTTTCTCCAGACACGAGGAGGGGGAAGCGGGAGGAGAAGAAAGGGAGGGAGAGACGCTTTTCCCCCCTCAAATTTCCAATCTGGACAATATCAAACGTTTTTCGCGAATGAATAACAGAATGAATGAATGAATAAAAACCAAACGATTACAACTTATTATATTTATATTTAATAATAATAATAATAATCTATATTAAATAACAATTAATCGCATTTGTGTTATAATAATAAATTTTATTGCTTTTTTTTCTCTTTTTTTCTTTTTTTTGTTGAAACTGCGACACGCGTAAAATTCTCCCCCCCCTACTCCCCATCCTCATCCCCTTCCGGTTCAACGTCGTAAAACCGGGATAAAAATTAAAATAATAATGATAATAATAATGACGACAGAAACGAAGCGGGCTCAAAACGGAAATTTAATTTCTTGCGTGTTTTTTTTTAATTTTTTTCCCGAAACGCACGCGGCGCATTTTTTCCCATTTTCCTACGATTACGTCATCATCATGCAAGGACACAATAAAATAATAATAATAATAATAATAATGAATAACATCCGGCGGGAATGAATAATTTTGTAAACTACTACTACTACTATTACTATTACTACTACAACTACTACAACAATGACTACAATTTCAGGACGACGACTACGTTAAAGAGAAAAAACAAAAAAAAAAATAATAATAATGATAATAATGATAATGATAATAAAAGTTTTTTAAACGTGATTAAATGATTATTACATGTGCAATTCTATATACAAAGCAAACAAACAAACAAACAAACAAAATCAGGTGTTCGGGTGTGTCCGTGTGTGCGTGCGTGCGTGAATTCGTGTAACTAAGTACCTGATTATGCAAATCATTTCGGTTTTGCTTTTTTTTTGAAAAAGAAAAAAAATTTTAAACACGTGATTCGTGATGAGGAAATGAGATGAAAGTGAAAGGAACGAGACGAAGAAGGAGGAGAGAGAGAGAGAGAGAGGGAAAGGGAAACAAACAAAATAAAAACGAATTTCCCGACACGTCAATTCGACTTTTTTCAACAAAAAACACGAAAAACATTCAAAAAAAAATTTTTTTTTTTTTTTTTACGCGTGTCAACAGTCAGCGAAATGAATTATTAACAACCACTTTAATGTTTTTTTTTTTTTTTTTTTTTTTAAATGCGTTTAATAAATCAATGAATGATTTAAAAATGAGAAAAAACAATGAGAGAGAGAGAGAGAGAGGGGGGGGGGAAATTTTTTTTTATTGTTCGATTGGCAACGAGACGAACGAGAAGGAAAAAAAAAAAAAAAAAAAATTTAATTTTTTAACAGTTTGTCGTCGTCGTCGTAATCGTCGTATCTGGTGACACGTTCGAGTACAAATTCCGACCGGAAAACATTATTCAAAAAATTTGTCTTATCAAACGTCGCGGATTCTATTGTTGTGACGTATTCAATCGACGTCATCGTCGTCGTCGTCGTCCTTTGTCGAAACGAATCCCATCAAAATTAAAGAAATGTGCGGTGATGACGTAAAAACCCGTCACCACCATTTTGTTTTTTTTCTTTTTTTTTTTTGTAAAACGGCGTCAAATTGTCGTCGTGTTTGACAATATATATATATATATAAAACTTTGTCGCAACTTTGACAAAATCAGTACACTGCCACCAATCGAAACAAAAAAAAAAAAGCTCGTAATAATAATTATAATAAAAAAAGCCGCGCGCGTAAAAACGAACGAAGTCTACAATCAATCAATCAATCAATCAATCAATCAATCAATCGTTCAATCGATCAAACGATCAATCAATCAATCAATCATCTACTGTTTAACGGTGAACATGTAAAACATTTAATATGAAATATTAAAAAAAAAAATTTTGATGATTTAATGAAAAACAAAACAAAAAACGGCTAAATCTAAACCAGGCAAACAATTAAAAACTAATAATAATAATAATAATAATAATAATAATAATTTCATGGGTAACTGTAAGGTTCGATCAAACCCCCTTCTCCCCAACATTAAACAACATTTAAAAAAAAAAATTGGAGGGGAGGGGAGAGGAGGACGTGAATCAAACCTTTTAAATACGTTTTATCAAACATTACACTTAACGGGCAGTAAAAAAAAAAAAAAAAAAAAAAAAAAAAAAGTTTTGAAACAATCGAACGCGCGCGCTCACGTGCATGTTTTATATGAACCGCCGTTTAAAAACAAAACAAAAGACGAACAAACGGGAGGATTTCCGGTCGAAAAAACCCTTTTTAACAACCCCTTTTAACGCGAAACCACCCTCAGTCTTTTCTAGAAATTTTTTCGTTTCGTCGTAATAACGCGTTTTTCCATCGCGAATCGGATTCAATATTTAAAAAAAAAAATCCCATCGTCGTCGAACCTGACGTACGACGTAAAAAAAAAAAAAAGAAAAAGACAGAAAGAGAGAAAGAGAGAGAGAGAGAAAAAAAACTTAAAACTCAAGGGGATGATTATTATAGAGAGAGAGAGAGAGAGAGAGAAAAAAAAAAACATCGAAGTCGTCGCGTGGTCAACGTCGTCGTAATATTGACGAAAGAGACGTGACGACGACAAAGAAGATGAAACTTCCATTGAACGATGAGGAGATCCTTGACGACGATGACGTCGACGTTGAAGCATAACCAAGGGTTGAATCTGGAAATTCCAGAGTAGAAAAGACAAAAACCAAACAAAAAAAAAAAAAAATAGAAAAAGAAAAAAAAAACAAAAAAAAAAAAAACCAAACAAAAAAAAAAAAAAATAAGGAAAAGAGAAAAAGTGCTAATAATTAACAACCCATCGATCGATCGATCCATCGATAATTTCGATTATCGATCGATACATCGATCATTTTGTTGTTGTTATTATTAAAATTTCGTTTTTTGAGACGTTCGGATATATGTATATATAAATCAGATCAGGTATGTTAATAATACATCATCGTGTTTGTTTTCCTTTTTCCTCTCCCTCCCTCCCTCTCCTCACTCCTTCCGGTTTGTTTCCCTCTCCTTTCCGCACCCCCACCACTTTCGCCTTCCTTTTCCGATACCCTTTTGATTCATATTTAAACCAAAAACAAACAAATAATAAAATAAAGATAATGAAAATGAAAACTCACCCCTCGCCGTTCGAAATATCGTGATTCCCGGAGCGGAACTTCCTATGGAATTATGAGCTCTAATTTCCGCTTTGTAAAAGGAATCAGATGCTAAACCCGTTAACAGGAAAGACGTTCCTTCATTTTTGTTTATTCTTATCTCGTCTAGACAAGATAATTCTTGAAACCTTAAATCTCTTCGCACGACCTGGACAAACACACGCACACATATTACATCAACGGAATTCCATTAATTTCATTCTCGTCATCGTCATCATCATTATTATCATTATTACCTCGCAACATCTGATTTCGTATCTGTCTATTGGTTCGCCATTATCCGCTGGAATTTTCCATCTGAGTTCGAATTTGTGATCGTATGGACTTTGCACGAAACCTCTTTCGTCGTCTCGTAGTAAAATAATCGGTTCTCCGGGACGGGACCTCTGTGGCATCGTGTAAAATTCTTCCCGACCCCAATTTCCAAGGCCGACGTCGTTTTGTGCCGCGAATCTAAAGCTGTAAGACATTTGAGGCAAAAGATTTTCCACGACGTAGGGTACTCCTGTCGGACAAACAAAAAAAAAAGACAAATAAACAAACATTATCAAGATGAAAAGTGAGGGGGGAGGGGGGGAAACGATAGAAAATACTTTAGTTAGCTTACCGAGTGCCCAAGTCCTGTTTAAAGCATCGTTCCAACTTTCGTGAAGTAATTTGTATTGGACAACGTAAGACCTGATAGGTATGCCGCCATCTATTTGAGAACTCGTTATCACGAACCTGATCGTCGTGGCTTGGGGGGAAAGAAAACAAATCGTTTAGAAACGAGCGAGTTTTTCGACAACTCAACGATAAAATCCCATCAAATCCTCTTACCCGTGATGGCTTCCATTTTGGCTTGTATGTGAAAGCTCGGCCTGAAAGCTTCCTTCAAGAAAATCGTGTGATTCGCACCCCCGTGTATGTTCATCGCGACGCACGTGTACGCTCCGTAATATTGATTGCTCAGGGGCGTAACCAACAAAGTGCTCACGGGTCCGCTCCCGTATTTCCTCACGTGTATATCATTTTCTATATCCCTGTCGTTTAATCTCCAATTGATCGTCGCGTTGGGTATGGATTCGGCGATGCACGTGAGATTAACCGGATTCCTTTCCCACGTCCACGTTTCGTTGATCGGAGTGTTTTCGAATGACGGAGGAAATTCTACGGTCACGTGTCCGGTTTTGTACGATTCCGCAGCCTGAAAACATATATATATATACGATGTGTCAAAGTGACCCTTTTTTCAAAGGTGCGATGTGTGACGCGACCCGTCGGTATACCAACCGTGTTTGTCGCTATGCATTCGTACAATCCATCATCCGATTTTTTGGCTTGCTGTATGAGCAAACTTCCGATTGTTTCATCTTCCCCGATTTGTTCGTTCGTCACGAAAACTCTCGGATCGTATAATTGTCTTCCCTCGAGCATTCTCGTCGTCGAACCGTATTTTCTGAAAATAACAAAAAAATTACCGACATTACGATTTCGATCTCGCGGGGGGGGGGTGTGTGTGTGGAAATGCGGAAGGGGAAACGATACAAACTTGAACGATATTTTAGGCGCGGGCCTTCCTCTCGCCAAACATTCCAATTTGACATCTTCGTTGATGACGACCGTCACATTTTTATTGGGTGCTATTTTCGGTTTGCTGCTCACCGATATTTTTATTATTCTTTCCGCGTTGGCAGCAGCGTTACTCGCCACGCATTTATACTCTCCGTGATCTTTTTCCTCGACCGGATTTATCGTCATCGTTCCGGTCAATTCGTTGACTCCGAACCTGTCGAGGAGAAAAACAAATTTTAAAAAATCTACAACAAGCAAAAAAAAATTTTTTTTTTTTTTTCGTTCGTCGACGCTCGCCTCACCTGGACATTTTGGCAACGTTGGCATTATTTTCTTTTCTTATCCACGAATACGTCGGTTTAGGTTTTCCCTCTGCCATGCACGGAACGGATGCTATTTCACCTTCGATTACTTCTATCGTGCTGTTATTGAAATGAATCGTCGGAGGAGTGTGTACCTGTATGTGGAAACAATCAATCAATCAATCAATCCATCGATTGATACTTTGCAACGAATTTTTCTTTTTTCTTTTGGCTGACCTACCTCGACTTTAATGTGCCTTATGGCGAGTTCTCCGGTTTTTATGACGATGGCACGACACGTGTAAACTCCATCGTCCGTTTCTTTCACTTTCGATATGAGTAAACCGTCGGGTTCGATTATGTATCGATTGGATGGTTTTATGAGTTCCCGATTTTTACTCCAATCAACTTGGGGAGGTGGATTCGCCGAAACTTTACACTTAACTTTGTAATCGGTGTTTATAATTGGATTTTGAGTTTCCGGTGCGTCTTCAAATTTAATCGGATCTGTTTAATAATAATAAAAAAAAAAAAAATGAAAAATTTTTTCTTTTAGAGAAAACTTTCATTTCCGTTTTTGGCAATCTTTCTTCTATACAAAAAAAACTTACATATGCTTTCTAATCGAACGGATTTCGATAGTTTATAACTCGCGTAATTTGCCGTGCAAGTATATTCTCCAGCTAAATTTTCGCTAAAATATTCCAGAAGAAGACCTAAAGTGTTCGGAGTCATGATTTCCGTTTTAACCCACTGCCTGTCGGGACTGGAAGGAAAAAAAACGGATTTCCTGTTAATTTTATTCAAAAAATCGATCAATCAATCGATCAATCAATCAATCAATCATTAACTCACTAGTGCTGATCGATCGTGAGATTTTGTGGTCCTTTCCACGACAAATCGGAAACGAGATTTTGATTTTCTACATCCGGTTGACATGTGAGCAACGCGCTTCCTCCCACCGGTTTTATTTGCACCGGAGAATTCGGCGATATAATCAATGTCGGTTCTTTCGCCGAAGAAGAATCTGGAAAAAAAATAATAATGATAATGATAATGAGAACATTGAGAAAAAATTTACGCGATTTATTCGACCGTTCGTTCGATAATAATAATAATAATCTAACTAAATATACACTTTTAACCGAATTAAATCTTTTCTCATCTTTCTTTCTTTCTCTCTTTTTTCATACAAAAAAAAAAAAAAAAAAAAAAAAAAAAAGGGACAAAATGTCGTTCGAGAGCGACAACGAGGACGATGACGACGACAACAACAACAACAACAACTCGCTTCGAATTCTCGAGAAAACTTTCAATTCTGTTAATTAAACTGAAATCTTTACCGAAGTGAGAGCAAAAAAAAGAAAACTTTACGACAATAACGACGTCGTATTATCATTATTATTATTATACGACTTTAGGAAAATTTGATTAAGTTCGATGTTATATTATATTAGAAATGTGTGCGTGTGCGTGTCCGCGTGAGTGCGTTCGAGCGCGACGTGGGTAAAAGGCTTTAAACAAAGGGAAAAAGGTGAACGGATGGATGAGCGAATTACTAGGTAGAAAAGAGAGAGAGAGAGAGAGAAAGCGAAAGGTAAAGGAGGATGCAAAAATTTTATACAATATTCCAAAATTTTCCGTTACAACTCTTCCCTCCGCCTCTCTCTCCTTCTCCTCCTCATTCCCCCTCTCCGGCACATCTCATCCTCCACCTTTCCAATGTTTTCTCCCTCGGACACACTTTTCCTTTTCATATTTATATACGAAATAAGAAACTTTTCCGTAACAAGTCCGTATTATTTACGATCCCTCACAAACAACAGCAATAATAATAATAATAATAATAATAATAATAATAATAATGATAATGATAATAATGTTAGCGATAGACGATAAAAATAAAATTTTTCCTTTAAAAAAAAACGAAACTCTTAGTGGGGAAGAAAAAAAAATAAGAAAAAGAAAAGCTGTGCGATTACGGGGCAACCATTCGAAGGGATGATGATGATGATCATCATAAAAACTATTCAGAAAACTCAAGAAAGGTGGTGAAGGCCCCTTCCCCCCTTAGATGAGATGAAGAGGAAGAGGGGGAAGAGGGCAAAAAAAAAGAAACAAAGAAATAAATTTAAAGATGAGGATGATGATGATGGGGGAAAAGAAAAAAAAAATTTTAAAATATTAATATTAATAATAATAATAATAAAATACAAATTAATTAATTTAGAAAATGGAAAAGGACGGAAAGGAAAGCGGGAGAGGGAAGGGGAAGGGGAGGGAAAGAAAGAAATATGACGATTCGAGAGCAGAGGAAAAAAAGAAAAAAAAAAAAAAGGGAAATATACACGCTGGACTCATCATTTTTGAAATAATGAAAAGCGACGAGGCAATAATATGGCAAATCAGTTCGAAAACGATGACGACGACGAGGTGAATGACGTAATCATTATGACGACATAAATAAAATAAATTAAAAATAAAATAAAATAAAGAAAAATCTTTCTCTCTTTCTCTCTCTCTCTCTCTTTCTTCTTTCATTTCCTTTAAGAAAACTACGACGACGTCGATGAGGACGGCGACGACGACAAACAACAACAAACAACAAACAACAACCAACATGAAATCCTTATTAAGGAAATCAATATTTTTTTTTTTTTGTGAAATCCCGATGATGTAAGTCTGTCTTTCACACAGCCTCCTCCTCCTCCTCCTCCTCCTTCTCTGAATCATCTTATTCCCTTTCAGACATTTATTCTTCGTCTCTCTCTCTCTCTTTCTCTTTTTCAATTACCATCATTTTCGATTCGTTGTATCTATCCATCTCTCTCTCTCTCTCTCTCTCCTTAAGAAAATAAACAATATATACGAGATAGAATAGTCTAGTTTAATTTGTAACCTTATATTTTGAAATATGAAAGTTTTCATTTCCCCTTTTCGACATTCTCTCATTTCTACCATTTTTCTCTCTCTCTCTTTTCTTTTTCCGTCATTTAAAAATTTGCTGTTTATTTTTTGCTTCTTTTCTTCGATAAACTTTAAAAAGAAAAACCCAATATTAATAATAATAATGATAAAACTTTGACCGGAAAAACATTTTTTATTATTTTTTCAAACGTTTCTTCCGGTTAAATATTCATCATAAGGTGAGTTTACAAAAAAAAAAAACAAAAATTTTCCATTGTTTCTCTCTCTCTCTCTCTCTCTCTCTCTCACTCGCTCTATGTATATTTCTTTTTCTTTCTTTCGTTCCAATAGGAATTTCCTTTCCTTTTTCCATTTTCACCCGGATAGTATCTTGTTGTTGTTGTTCTTCTTCTTCTTTTTCTTTCTTTCCTGCCTTCCTCGTTTTCATTTATCGAAGAAAACTTTTTGGAAAATCGATTTCAAATTCAAATCCTTTGTCGCAAACTTTCCTTTTTCCTTTTTATATTTAGAATTCCATTTTTCGAATCGTTCGATGTAAAAATAAAAAAGTTTTGAGGATTCGATTTGGAATCCACTTTGGTACTCACAATAACAAATTTTTTTTTTTTTTTTTTGTACGATGACGTAAAGATCAAGTAATTTTTTAATCACACGCACACGCACACGCACACGCACACACGCACGTGCTACAAGAAAAAAAAAACGAGAAGAAAAAAAAAAGAAAAGAAAAGAAAATTTTAAACGCTGCTGCTGACTTTTTTTTTTTTTTGTATTTAAACATTTTCGTTCAATTACAAAAAAAAGAAAAGAAAAGCGGAAGAAGAAGGAGAAGGAGGAAGAGGAGTAGAAAAAGGAGGAAGATAAGGAAAAGAAGAAGCAAGAAAGAAGAAAAAAAAAAGGTTGCATTTCCAGCAGCCCTTCATTTAGGATTAATATAAAAGACAATTAATCATTTTTGAAAGTGGCAGTCTAGACAGTGATGAGGGGGATAAGGGCGGGTGGGAAGCATATCGAAGGGGAGATGAGAGGGAGAGAAAAAGAAAGGCAAAGATTTATAAGAAATTGAGAAGAAAGAGGAGGAAGAGGAAGAGTAGGAGTTGGAGGAGGATTCGCAAGAATGGCGACGGTCGATACAAATTCGAGAAAAATAAATTTTCACCATTTTTTTTTTTTTTTTTTTTTCTCAACTCGCGTAATTTTCTTCGATTTTTTTTTTAACCCTCGAAGCTAGAAAAAAAAAAAATAATTTTCGAGAGGCGTTGAAAAGAGAGAAAGGGAGATGAGGGGAGGAGGAAGAGGAAAAGGAAGGGCGACATTAAAATAAAATGAAAAAAAAAAAAGAAAAGAAAAAAAATGTATGTATATGTACGAATGATTTTATAGGTTCACAGCCTTCTTAAAAAATTCCAACATTCAAACATCGTCTGGGATTAATGGCGTCCGAGGGGAGGGAGGTGGGGGTCACGTGGCGCCTTTTGAAAATGAAATTTCCGGTTTCGAAAAGCTTCTCTCAACTTCCGTCCGACCGTTCGACTCTCTCTCTTCCTCCCTCTCCCTTCACATCTCTCCCTCTCTCTCTTTTTCTCTTTCTGGTTCCACTTTGACTTTCGTAGTCAATTTTTTTTTTTTTTTTAATTTTAAATTTGATTCCTTTTTAAGCGTTTAAAAAAATTCTCTCTCTCTCTTTTCTTTACATTCGTCACCTCTTTCTTTCTTTCTTTCTTTTTTTTATTTATTATAATTTTAGCGTTTTTAATTATTTGGTCTGATGATTTGCGCTTGTTTGTTTGTTTGTTTTCATTCGGACAAACGACACGACGACGGCGTTTATTAAATGACCACCGCAAAATCCCCAACGTAATTACTCGATCCAATTTTAAAACTTAATTTTTTCTCACTGTGGGTGTTGCAGAGTGAGAGAGAGAGAGAGAGGGAAGAGGGAGAGAGTGAACGAACGGAGAAAAGAGAGAGAGAGAGAGATAAAAAAAAATCATTTCTACCCATTCACGACTACGATGGATCCAGCAGGAAATTCAAAGAAAAATTTATTCACGCGATTTCCACAGTCCGCGTTCCATCATTCCCCTTCCCTTCCCCGCCCCCCTCCGAAACAAAAATTATAAAAATGATAATGATGATTAATTTAAGAAAAAAAAACTGGAACACCAACCATTCCTATTATTATTATTATTATTTACTACAATATTCATTCAAGTCGTATTCTTGCTATTAAACTCCTGGACACGTTGAACAAAAGTGAGTCTAAGGTAGATAGAGAAAGAGGAGAGACAGAGAGAGAGGGGGGATGAAGGAGGAAAGGGAAGAGAGGGGGATTTCACGCCGCCATTTTTTTTTCTCACATGAAAAATTTATTATTAAAGTTCTCTTTTAAACTCCAGAAAAAGCATCATTTACAATTTTCACATTAAACGCATTTATATATATATATATATTCAAAGTCCGTCCGTTTGAAAACGACTTCCCCCTCCTCTCTCCTCCCCTCATCCCCTCCCTAAAATATATATATATATATATATATTTTCGCATCATTACTTTTTGAAATACCCTTCACGTCACATCACAAAATATCCACCGATATTATTTTTTCCAGCCATTTTTTCTTTTTTTTTTTTTTCTATTTCTTATTTTTGACAGTTTTTTTATTTTCTCCAGGTTTAACTTTTACCCCACGCCCCCATAGATAACCAAACATTATTTGATTCACTCTCACTTTAAAAAATACTTTCCAATACAATCCACAGTAAGAGGGAGGGAAGAGAAAGAGGAAGAGAAAGAGAGAGAGAGAGAGAACAATGAAAGGAAAACTATACGAACAATTAAATATGAAAGAGTGAGAGAGAGAGAAAAGAAAAAAAAATTTCCAATGATGCAGCACGTTCGTCGCTGGAACGAGACAGAGAGAGACAGAAAGAGAGAGACAGAGAGAGATTTCCAGTGGAAATGAAACCGATGGAAATAAATAATAATAATAATAATAATATTTCGTCGGAATTTTACGAGCTCATTCTTTCAATTAAAAAAAAAATTTTTTTTTTTTCCGTTTTTATAAAATTCGTTTGTTTTTGTTTTGTTTTTTCCATTCTACTGCCACGTGTAAATTTTTTTGAAATTGATTAAACGAAATTTTATTTATACGTCGTTCGAATCCAGTCCTTCTTTCAATTACACGTCAGACCAAAATTCTGGAATCCTCTTTTTTTTTCGTTTCGGGACGGTTATCTCCAGGGACGTCGTCGTTTTATTTTTTTTCTTTCTCCTTCTTTTTCCTCTTCTTCTTCTTTTTATTTTTCTTTTTCTTCTCCTTCTTTTACGAAATAATTTTGATTTATTTTCCATCTCTTCGTTTTCTTCAATCCTTAAGGTCAACTTTTCCTTCCCACTCCCCCACACTCGATTCCAAAATTTCGAAATTTCTTTTTTTAAGGTCAAAAAAAAAAAAACTTATTCATTTTTTTCTTTGTCCTTTGTCTCCCTCCCTCTCTCTCTCTCTTTCTTATTCTCCCTTGTCCGCAGGGATGTAAAAAAAAAAACCCTCCAAACGTCCAAGCCAATATAATAATAATAATAATAATAATAATAATAATAATAATAATAATAATAATAATAATAATAATAATAATAAATGACAAATATTTCTAATTTACTTGATACGAACTACTACTACTACTACATGGAGAACAAAAAAAAAAAAAAAGCAAAGCAAAAGAGCAAAAGAGAGAGAGAGAGAGAGAGTAGAGGAACGATAAGAGCTCCTCTCCCTTTCTCTCTCCTTCTGTCTCTTTCTCTCTTTTCTTTTTATGAGATCTTT